AAAAAAAAAAAATCACTACATAGACAGATGCCCTAGATGATGAACACATTTTCAAAAGGGACTGAAACTGTTCGGTCCTAGACAAAACGTCGTCTAACTGATGAAAGCAAACCTTAGGATGGTAGTTCTTAACCGGGGGCCATTTTGACAATGTTCTTGGACAATCCTCTGGCAATGTCTAGAGATGTTTTTGGTTGTCACAAACTTGGGGGTGTCCTAGCATCTAGTGGGTGGAGACCAGGAATGCTGTCAAAAATCTTACACCACAGTTTAGCACCTCCACCCCGACAAAGAATGATCTGGCCTGGGAAGTCAATAGTACTGAGACTGAGAAACTCTTAGAATACAAGGGGGAGTTATCTTTTGGAGGATGGCCCCTTGTAGTACAGGCTTTTTGTGCTAGGTAAGTGTTCGAGGAAGCTATTGCATCAGCGTGCTGGCTTGTAGTGTTGTGAGATGTTGTGTTGTGGCTGAAATGTCCCGAGTTGTGGTAAACAGGTGACTGGTTCTTCCACCATAACACACCTGTCTGTACGTGCTGACCATTCAGCAGTTTTTGACCCAAAATGGCATGACCCTTGTGCCCGCCCCCCCTATTCACACCATCTTGCCAAAAGTGACTATGTGTTTGTTTCCCTGGAGGAAAAAAGTCCTCCAAGGGAAACGTTTTGCCAGTGTGGAAGAGGTGAAACAAAAAAGGGCAGAAACACTTAAAAGGCATCAAAGCGTATGAGTTCAGAAACTGTTCTGAGCAGTGGAAAAAGTGTCTCGATAGGTGTGTTGCATCAAATGGAGAGGACTTGGAAGGTGACTGAAGTTTAAACATGTAAGAATACATACATAGTTTTTAATAAATAAATTCTGGGTTTTTGGGGTTCCTCCTCGTGCATTCACAAGCGACTTCACTTTGAGCTGACTCCCCCAGTGGGACCCCGGCTTGGCCAGAGTCTGGAAGTGTGTGTTTGGATAGAGAAGGCGGGAGTGGCTGAGAAGCAGGCTGGAGCCAGAGGCTGGGGATTCTGGAATGCCAAGGGGGATTTTGCACTTATTCCTCTGGGCAGGAAGAGGCACTGGGGGCCTCGAGGTTAGGAAGGGTGGCCTCCGTCCATCCAAGGGCATCCAGCTGTAGCAAGTATATGGTTCTGGGAAGGATGATCTCTCTCACCCCTGCACAGAGTTCTCGACGTCCACATCTTGCTGCAGGGCTCTGGGCTTTCCCTGGACAGCACACACGTGTCCTCAGCTTAACTCCATGAATGCTGATGGGAGGGAGGGAGGAGAGGGGTCCTGGGTGTTTGGTCTGCAGTCCCGTTGCTGCTGGCCACTGCAGGAGGCCCTGTCTACACAGCTCTGCCTCGGGTCTCCGGGGGAAAATGGCTCCTCCATGATACTAACCCTCAGGCATGATGACGATGTCTTCTATGCACCAACTTGTCTGGGCCATGGAACCAGACGTGTGGCCCATCATTAATCTGGCTGTTTCTAGGAGGGTATTTTTGGATGAGCTTAACATCTAAATCAGTGGACCTTTTTTAAAAAAAATTTGGAGTGTCACTCTGTCACCCAGGCTGGAGGAGTGCAGTAGCACAATCACAGTTCACTGTAGCCTCAAACACCTGGGCTCAAGCCATCCTCCCATCTTAGCCTCCCAAGTAGCTGGGATTGGTACATGCCATTGGAACTGGTATGTGCCATCATGCCTGGCTAATTTTTTTAATTCTTTGTAGAGACATGGTCTCACTGTATTTCCCAGGCTAGTCTTGAACTCCTAAGCTCAAGCAATCTTCCCATCTTGGCCTCTCAAAATGCTTGGATTAGGTGTGAGCCACCATGCCCAGTCAGTGGACTTTGAACAAAGCAGATTGCCCTCCATAGTGTGGATGGGCCTCATCTAATCAGTTGAAGGCATGACTAGCACAGGAAGAGGGAACACTGGTGGCAGACAGCCTTCAATCTGAACTGCAGATTTGGCCAACCTCTGTAATCACATGAGCCAGTTCTGAAAATAACTCTGTTTCTCTCTACGTACACATCCAGGGTTCCGTTTCTCTGGGGAACCCTGACGAACACAAGTACCTGTGGCTTCCTTCAACCCTGCCTGCAGCTTAGTCAGTTAGTGCATCCCCTTTATTAAATGCTCCTTAAATAAAGTAACACATACACTCCTGTTTCCTGTCCACCCTCAGTACCATGTGCAGGCCAGCACCATGGTCTCAGGTCTCCCTGGAGGCTGCCCTGGTGCCCATCCCTTTGGAAACCAGGCACTGAATGACACTGGGTGTCAGTATCCCTGCCTGTGTGGGGCCTCTGTCTGGTGGGCGCTATGGAGTCAGAGCTGTTTGTTCATTTAAAATCAGAACAAGACATGCTTGCCCTTCCCACTTCCCGGACAGGAGGCCCGAGTCCCCAGGGTAGCCAATTCATTTATGTCTGGTTTATGGCTAAGTCAGAGCCATTTTCTAGGGCCAAAAGGGAGGCTGAGCTCTTCTCTGCCTGTGGGAGGTTTAACAACCCACTCCCATTTTAAAGGGAGGAACACTGAGGCCAGGAGTCATGCCTGGGCCCATACGGAGAGTCAGTGGCCAAAAGACCAGGATTCCTCTGACAGTGTTTTCTTCCTAACTGGGTTCCCTTGTCCTCATCCTGGAGATAGATGGATCATTTCTGAGCTTCCCACAGTGGCCTGCTCTGCCTCCTGAGGTCTGAACTCGATTCTCTAGCAGGGATAGGGGTGCATGAAGCCCCCCGCCTGGCCGGGAGAGAGCCAGTGGGCTCCCCTGATCACCAGGGGACCAGATGGGGACCTTTCTGTGCTCACAGGTCACAATGCCTGTGACTCAGGAAGGCACTTTGGGCCTCCCGCTAGTGAGGCGGGCACTCAGGAGGGGAGATGAGAGTTCGACACCTGCCCAAGGCCACACCGCAGCATGCGGCTGGCACCCAGGGCTGGGCGCCTTCAGTCGTCTTGATGGAAAGGGGACTCCAGGGCTGGGTACCATTAATCGCCCTTCGTGGGCCCTTCCTAGAGGAGGCAGGACCAGGTTGGCTGCGGCCTCAGCTGTCACAGCTCTGGGTTTGGAGGAATGTCAGCTAAAAGGGTGTCAGTGTGGTTGGGGAGGTGATGAGGATCGCCATGTTCCCTTCTGCATGCTCCCAGGAGAGGATGCTCAAGGAGGGGCCGGCAGTGGGAGGAGTGACTGGGTGGGGCCAGAATTCTGTGGGGTGGAGCCTGCAAAGTCTGAAGCCCTCATAAGACCGGATGGGTGGCAGGGGGCACATTCAGGGCCACCATGGAGGGTAGCTTCACTGGGGGCAATAAGTGCCAGAAGCACTTTCTGCCCAGGAACTACTTAACTACCTACTACAGCTTTGATGGTGGCCCCTCGCCTGAGGCTGAGATGCTTAAGTTTAGCTTGGAGTGTCTCCACAAGACCTTCGGCCCTGGTGAGTGGAAGGTGGCCCTTCCCCTGGAGTCTCTCTTCAGGGAACCTGGATGGGAGAAGAGGAGAAGTTGTTGGGAGAGCTGATGGGTTCCTGCCCCTCTTCTGGGCACCTGCTATGCTGGAGGTTAGGTCTGTCTCCCCATTGTTCAGGAGTTGGGCACCGACCCGGGGATCCGGATATTCTAGGGGAGAGCACAGTCCCGTGCAGTTCCCATATGGCTTTCCATTAGCCCCTATATTTTCTCTCCAGGTCATTGTCAAGTTCAGCCCTACCTTTGCACAGCCAAGCCTCTGGGACCCCAAGAAGGCCAAGGGCAAATAGTGGAATTGGAGTGTGTAGCCTGGATGTGGCTGTGAAGAGGACCTGGGAAAGTTCCACTCTGGGGCTGGGAGTACTGGGTGGGGACTCCGCCCTGTCGCAAACCTGCTGGCAGGGTCTTCAGGCCCTCAGAACCTCAGCTGAGTCATCCGTGCAAGGAATGGTGGCTGCTACCTGCCTGTCAATGATCACTGCCCTCCCCATGGTGTTCTGTGACTTTGTTGTGTCCTCCTGGCTCCAGCAGCCATGGTCTTACTTTGGGCACTTGACTGGAGAACAGTGAGGGTAAGTCCCCAGGTGGCCTGGGGACTAGGAGAAAGTTAAGAGGTTGCTGAGTCAGGTGGAGCGGGCAGGTGGGGAAGGCAGAGATCAGAGAACAGCCTGGCTGGTGTGATCCCACATCCCAAGTGATGGCCCGCTGTCAGGGCTCCAGACAAAATGTTGGAAGTCATGCTTCATTCCAGCTTCCAGGTGAACCTGAACTCACCTCTGAGCCATCTTCCCAGGTCAACTCCTTCTCAGCTCCTTGTTTCCAGTTCCGGCACCCCTTCCTCAAGAAACCCATGCAGGCAGGGCTGGACTTCCAGGGATGGCTCCTGGCTCCCAGCTCCCAGCCAGCCCAAGACTTAAAGGGCCACTGACCCCAGCATGTCTCCTCTGTCCCCTCCAGCCTGAATCTTCTCCAGAGTCCAGAATTTCTGTTCTCTGTCCTGAAGGGATGGTGTTTGTGCTCTTGGCAGAGAGATACTGGACTAATTTTTAACTTTTCTCAGACTCAGTTTTATAATCTACAAAGTGAAAATAGCAATAGTAGCCACTACACAGAATAGTTCTGAGGTGTAATTGGAAATTGATGCTTGTAAAATATTTAGGACGGGGCCTGGTCTCTGGGAAGTCACCAGTCCATGGTAACCCTCATGCTTGGTGCAGCTTCTACCTTGGGTGAGACCAGGGCGCATGCCACCGACCCTCTATCTCAGGTCTCGTCTCTTTTGCCTGTCCCTTACCGGTGTCTCCCTGCCACAGGATGCCTCCATGGGACATGCTTATCGACATTGGCTCAGGTCTTACCATCTACCAAGTTCTTACCACCTACGAGTCCTTCAGAGACATCACTCTCTCTGACTTCACGGACCGCAAACGGGAGGAGCTGGAGAAGTGGCTGAGGAAGGAGCCGGGGGCCTACGACTGGACCCCGGCCTTGAAATTCGCCTGTGACCTGGAGGGGGACAGATAGGGGTGCGGAAGTTGGGGGCTGGATGTCAACCCCCTTCTCAGAGGGTTCTCTGGCCTCTTGGTTGTCCCTGACATTTTCAAGACAGCAGGCCCTTCAAGGATAGGATCAGCTGCCTTGGGGTAGGGACAGAGTCCAGATGGGGCCTCAAGTTTCAGGATTATAGCAGTCTTAGGGGCAGGGTTTTGATCACAGGACTGTGTTGAGATGTGATGTAGTTGAATTTGACCACTGAAAACCAGATGACAGGAACTTACCTTCCTTTCCTCCTTCTTTCCTCCCTCCCTCCCTCCCTTCCTTCTTACCTTCCTTTCTTCCTCTCTTCTATATATTTACTTATATATCATCTATATCTTCATCCATCCATCCATCCATGCATCCATCTATATCTATCCATCCATGTCCATCCGTCCATCAATCATCTATCCATCATCCATCCATCCATCCATCATCCATATCCACTCATCCACCCATCTATCCATCCATCCACCCAGTTTTCCTTCTTCCCTTTATCATTTGTACTGTTGTGACTGTATGACATTACTCAAACCCACCACCCAACCCGAGTACTCTAATACAATAAAGAATTACCTGTGCTTCTCCCCTGTTCCTTGTCCCTTACCTCCCCCTACTTGAGGTAATCACTGACATGAATTTTATAATTGTTATTCTCTTGCTTTTGAAAAATAATTGTTATTCTCTTGCTTTTGAAAATATCTGTACTACATATTTATGTATATCTAAGCAATCTGTAGTTGTAGTCACCTTTGAACTTTATAACAAAATAATTGGCTCTGTATTGTCTTCTGGGATTTGCTTTCCATCACTCAACATTACATTTTTAAGATATCTATGTTTATACATTTTCTGTAGCAAATTCATTAATTCATCTATCCTTCCATCTATCCATCTATAGTGTTTGTTGAATGCCCAACCCATGCTTGAGGTTCTTTGTCCCTCCTGGGGATTAAAGGAAGGAGACTCACATGGAATCAGAGAGAGGAATGTCCCTATGATTGTTCTGGTCCACTCTCCCTGATCATTTTCCTGAGGCTCAGATTGAGGAAGGAAGGGACTAAGAGACAGCAATCCTTTGGGGGTGCAGAGATCACCTCCATCAGCTGGTCACCGTGGACTGAGGGTGTCCTTGGGACCTTGAAGCACCTTCCCTGAGCCCCGCCCTCTCTCTGCAGTGGCTGCTGGCAGGAGAAGGAGGAGAGGCTGAGGGCTGTGGTGAAGCAGGTGCTCAAATGCGATGTCCACCTGGGCTACCCGCTGGCCCTGGCCACGTTGCCCCCTGCCGACTGCGTGCTCACCTTCCTGGCCATGGAGCGCGCCTGCTCTAGCCTGGATGTCTACCACGCTGCACTGTGCAACCTCGCTTTGCTGCTCAAGCCGGGTGGCCACCTGGTGATCATGGTCACCCTCCAGGTGACATCCTACATGGTGGGGAAGCATCAGTTCTCCTGTGTGTCCCTGCAGAAGGAGGATGTGGAACAGGCTGTTCTGGACGCGGGCTTTGACCTCGAGCTGCTCCTGCACAGCCCCAAGAGCTACTCCGCCATCAGCGCTGCCAACACTGGGGTCTGCTTCATTGTGGCCCTCAAAAGGCCTGGGACCTGAGCCAGAAGGGCCAGTCAGAGCTCTGGCCGGGCTCTGAGGTCTTGGCCATCTCGCTGCTAGAGAGGGCTTAGCAATGGGTAGTGTCTAACAGCCTCCATGGTCAACACTAACATTCCATCTTCTGAAATCTGAGATTCTAACATCCCTCTTTTAGAATTCTAAGTTTCCACATACCTAGTTCTAGGATCCTAGGAGTAGAATATTCTGTTTTCTAATACAGCTACCCTTAGGTGCCATCCAACTCCCGTGCAACTGTGGAGCATCCAGGCACATGGTTTCAGAGTCTATCCAGTGTATTAAGGACAAGGAAGCCTCTAGACAGTGGTGTATTGGAAACTCTCACAACAAGCCCTCTAAAAGGAAGAGCACTGATTTGTGGCAGTCGCCAATTCCTGTGGTGCAAATACTCCCACTGTGATAGATTTCACTCTACCAGTGTTTTAGTAACTGGCTGATCAAACTCCTAAAATTTTACTGGCTCTCACGAGCTGATATGAACCAGCCTGAACACGCCACTGTCTCTAGACTAAGCTTGGCAGATTTAGCAAATAAAAAAACAGGATGCTCAGTTCATTGAATTTTTTAAAAATTATTTCAGCTACATCTGCTGGAATGAGACAGCATTCACTGAATTTAGGTAAACAAAATAAGTTTTTTAGGAGAAGTATGTCCTCACAATTGCTTGGGGGCATACTTACTCTAAACGATGATTTGTCATGTATCAGAAATTCAGATTGCACTGGGTGTCCTGTGTTTTGTCTGCCAACCCCACTCCAGACCAAATCATCCCACCCAAGTGAGGAGAGGAACAGCCCAGGAGTCAGCCTAACACAAAGGTTGCCTTTGTGTGAATAAGGAAAATACGCTTCTAGGGCTGGACAAATTGCAGAAAGGTGACTTCAGGCTGATTCATTGAGAAAAGGTGTTCCATCTCCCTCTGGACGGACTATGAGAACAAGTTCCCCTTCTGGGCAGACCGACCAGAGAAAGGTAGGCTGACTTGGTCCCACCCTGAGCACCTGTCTGCCTCCCTTTCCCCTCAACCTGTGCCTTGTGTGGGCCCATCCTGGAGAGCCGGGCACAGTAAGAGCCCAGAGACCTGGATTCTGGTCTCAACCCTGCTGCTCATTTGCTGGTTTTCACGTCTCTGGGCCTCGTACCCCTTATGTGTGAAGTAAGGGAAATGGGACTTAATCTAACAATCTAGAAGAAAGTTCTAGAAGCAGGAAATCATTGATGCATAAGTACTTTAAAATGTAAAAGGTTTTGCCCAAACTGACCTATGGATGTTATTTCCCCAAAGGATCACAATAACCTAGTCCAATTCCTGGTTTCCATAGTCCTAGAAGCTGAGGTCCTGAGAGGGTAAGTGACGTGCCTAGAGACACACAGCAAGCTGGTGGTTCCCGGTCTGTCTAGTAGTATACTCTCGCTCCATGAGGCGTCCCAGGGCTCAGAGGGGCAGGGAATCCCTGCTCCCCTTGGCTCTTTCTCAGCATGGGCTTGTTTTTGCAACAGCACCCCCATCTGCGTGCCTTCACTTCCTGGCTCATGTTTCGCTCCAGCACAAACACCCCAGCTTGTCTTCAGATGTGTCTCTCAGGAGAGCCTTCTCTGCCTTGCCGGGAGGGGCGCCGTGTATGGGTTGTTTTAGACAAGCTCATGGCAGAATGATCAACAGGCAGAGGAAGTGGGGACCCAGCAGTTGTGAAAGAACCTTGCCCCTGAGAACCGATGTCCAGGAATGGGGGAGGAGTAGGGGCTAAAATCGGACCTTGTAGAAAATGTTGTGGACAGATGATGTTTCTGCCGAGGAGCCCCAAAGGAGACTGGCTTGTTCCCAGCAGCAGACATTGCCCAGGAGAGGAGGTTGCTTAAGGAAAGGAAGCTGCAGCCGTGTCTCTCCTCACAAGGCCAGGATCCCTCTTAGAGTGCCATCTGTCCTGGACACAGGCAAATGGCATGGATGCCAGCCAGGGCCCTTGATTCTTGGACAACTCGGTGTGAAGTGTTGGCTGACTGCCTTGGAGGAGAGTGGGCAAGGATGTGAGGGATTCTTCAGGGGCTGTGGAAGTCATTCTAGCTCGTGAAACTGGGCCAGGCTGAACGAGCAACTGTGCGATACATCTGTCATTCCTTCACATAAATATAATGTATACTGTCTCCACGCTTTAATAAAACATTTTGCTTTACTCTAACCAGTGGGCAGGGACTGTGATATACTGTGGAGACAATGGGGGAAGAATTCTTCAGAGAAAGAAGCCCCGTTGTGGCTGGGGAGAGGAAACTTCTGTTTGTGAGCAGGGGAGGTAGACTTGTGGGTCATGACTCCCTTCGTGTAGTTATTCACTGAGCTGCTACCTGCCTTGGGCAATGGGGTAGGCTTCCTGCTGTGTCAGGAGTGAGTGCAAGCAATATAAGACCCAACTGTGGTGGCCTTATATTGGTTCAGTGACTCCATGGTAATGGAGCTAGCATCTCTGCAATGCTTGAAACACCTGCAATAGCTTGTTCTTTCCTCATGATCACAAGATGGCTGTTATAGCTCCAGGCATCTAGATTCAAGGCAGGGAAGTGGAAGAAAAGGTGACTTCATCAGTGATCTCTGCCTGTCTTACAAGGAAAGCAGAAGCCACCAGAAGCCTTCTGGCTAATTTCAGTTGTGTTGAGCCACCCCCACCCCTACAGCTGCAAGGCAGGCTGGGTAAGAAAGTATGTCACGTTCTAGTCTCTACAGTAGAGATGGGCTGGGGTAAGTAGGTTGGCAGGAGCGTGTTAGCCAGCAGCCAACATCTGCCATATTCTTTCTGGGGTTCAGCACAGCTGGCCCCAGGCTGTGTTCCTTCGCTGCGATCCTGGTTGGAGCCTTTCGCCTCCTCCCCTCCATTCTTTGTGGCAGCTTTAGGAGAACCCTGGGCTTGGCAAGAACAAGAAACAAGGAGACTGTTGGGCCATCATCATGTCCCTTCTGGTGGGTGTCTCCCTCTCCAATCTGAAGCAGAACCTTCATTTCCAGACCGAGCATGCACCCCAATTGTGGCATGGCCCAGCTGGCCCCACTGGGCTGCAACTGGACATGGGAGGGGCCAAACTGCATCTACCCTAACGCTTCAGGCCTCTTTCATGCGTGCCTGGGGGGAACTGAGTGGAGCTGGGTGAGAACGTGTTCTTATAAGTTAGTGGCTCAGTCTCCTCCATCTCCATTTCCAATGCACTCTGTCCCCTGTGTGACAGCAACTTCTCAGACACCAGAATGCGAAGACTGGTGTCTTAACCATTTTAAGTGTACCCCTCAGTGGCGTGAAGTACATTCATATCATTGTGCAACCATCACCACTTTCCACTCACAGAACTGTTTTCATTGTGCAAAACTGAAATTCTGTACCTGTTAAACAAAACTTCTGTTCTCCCTACCCCCCAGTCCTTGGCAATCATCATTTTACTTTTTGTCTCTATGAATTTGACTACTCTAAGTATCTTACATACATGGAATCATACAGTATTTGTCCTTTTGTGGTTGGCTTATTTCACTGAGTATAATGTCCCAAGGTTCATCCATGTGGTACCACGTGTCAGAATTTTCTTTCCCTTTAAGGTTGAATAATATTCCATTGTTGGTGAATGTATCGCATTTTGCTTATCCATTCATCCATTAATAGATATTTGTGTCATTTCCACCTTTTGGTTATTGCTAATCATGTTAACAGGAGACCAGTCATGCTTAAGACACCTAACATTATTTTAATTCTCACAACAGCCCCATGTGGATGGTATCATTTTGATCCTGCATTTTACAGGTGAGAAAACTGAGGAACAGGATTGCTCAAAGTCACACAGTGACTAAGTAGGAGAAGCAAGCAGTTTAGCTCCAGAGTTCAAGAGATTAATCTGCACCCACGCTGTCACCTCACAGAGTGCCAGGAGAACCTGTAGCTGGGCCTGGGGGATGTCCAGGAAGGTTTCATGGAGATGACCTATGAGCTGGTCCTAAGTGTGAGTTGTTCACTACAGCTGATGGAGAGAAGAAGAGCCAGCCATTCTGGCAGACGAAAACCTGGGTGTGGTGGCTAATTACACAAAGACCTGTCTCTACTTCACAGTCATGGCCCCCACAGTCCTGATGTAACATGAATAAGAAAACAGAAGACACAGGAAATTTCACTATCTGTGTGGTAGCCCTCATTCCTCACCCCTCCACCTCCACCACATTATAGAAACCAAATATTTAGGCCAAGCCAGACTTGGAGAGATGCTTTGAGAAAGATTTTATAGGCTCAAAAAGATATTAACTTCCCAACCATGATGCAAATCCTCACATCCTCATGAGGGTGAAGCTGGAGGTGGGGGGAATTTGGGGGTGGTGGGGAAGAGGAGGCTGAAACCCTGATAACCCTTTTTCCCTTTGCCTGGAAGTGGGGCCTGTCTTAGCCCAACCCATTCTTGGCAAGTGGTGTTCCTCAGGCATGGAGAAGGACTGCACAGCTTGCAGCCCATGCTAATCTCAAAACTACCAAATTTATTGTTTTTCCTAGAGCTCTAAAAAAGGCCAAGTCCAGGAAATATGGCTGCTTACCAGAGGCATTTTAATTGTGTAAAAGGAAAGGAAAGGAACAAAAGTTGGCCATTCTGGTCATCAGCTTAGGCAGCACATAGCCCATGGAAGTTTCTGTAGGCAACTGCCCCTCCTTATGGGAAATGCCAGTAAGACTTAAGTTGTGCACAGGCACAGAAGTGAGACAGGCTTGGGCCCGTGTAGAGATCAAGGACTGCAGGATATGATCTCTGAGCTCTCACATGCGTGGGTGTGTTGTATGCATATTAAGTGCATGGGGTGTCAGGATTTGACATCCTAATAAAAAGAACCAGAGGTGTGGAAATGTATCACCCTGAAACAAAAGAACACTCGTGTTCCAGAGATTGTTAGCTGTCCTCCTGTGCCCATTATACCCACGAACTCCTTTATAGTCAGAATTTGTTAGCTGTGTGCATGGCTGCCCTAA